CCCAGGAGGGTCCTGAGCGCCGGCAGAGGCAAAAACAAGCTGCCCTGGGAGAGCGAGCCGGCTGCGGACGGGGAAGGTGGCTCGGGGGTGAGGATGCCCGTCGCGAAGGGCGTGGAGCAGGTATGGAACTCCCCGCGGGCCTTTATGCTTAAGGGAGGATGAAGAGCTGTCAGGGACTTGTTAAGTGAGAGGTGTTTGGGAGGTATGGCTGCTGTTTCATGGATCTCTGCACTCAGATCGCTCTGGGAAGGTAAATTTGGGAATTCTTTATGTCAGATTCAACCGAGCAATTTACCAGACTACTTACAAAGAAATACATTAATTTTTTTTTGAGACGAGACACTCCTTATGTCTGACAGCAGTGACATGACTCTGACATGTCAACAATGGCAGGTGAACTGCTGGGAATGAGCACAAAAGTGGGGAAAACAGCCTTTATTTGTGTGTTTGTGTTTGAAGGCGTGGGACTGACTGCAGAGGGTTTCCTTTTGGGGGAAAACAGAGCAACTCCTTCAGCTCAGGCTGTGAAGGCAGAGCTGCGGGATGGGGCTGAGCCAGGGCTTTTGGGATAAACCCGGTGGCTGCCAAGTGCCTGTGTGGCTCTTGCTCCTTGGGCTGATCCCAGCAGGAAAAATGTAGGTCAGGCTGGAATAAGGATTCTGGCTGGGTTTGGTGCAATCACCCCCTGACCACGTCGGCAGCTGGAAAGGGGAGGAACCTCTGGAAAACTGTCCAGGTCCTTTTTCCTTTGCCAGTGGTTCTGTGACGTGGTTTGGATCCCACACATGGCTGTATCTCTCTGTGGTGGTTTTTCTCTTATGTTTTGGGGTTTTTTTAAGTGGACACGTTTGGTTGATCAGAACTCGATGTCCTGTGGGGGAGCTGAAGCAAACAGAGCTCCTGAGGCGGTGAGAGGCTGTGCAGAGCAGATTGCTCAGTGCCACATTTACGCACTCAGATTTTCATTCCCAGTTGCTTGGTAACTTGTTGCTGGGCTGGATGAGGTCAGGGACAGTGGGTGCTCCTCTGCAGCCTGGCTGTGGGGCAGGCCCTTAACCAAATAAACCCAGGTCGTGTTTCTGTGCTGTCAGACCTTGAGGTTCACGCCTGGACTTGAATGCTCCTCTCTTCCCTTGGTGCCTGTGTTACCTCTCCTGAGGCTCCTGAAGGCATCTGTGCCTTCCTGAGCTGCTGAATCAGATCCCTTGGGATAGCTGCAAACAGGGTTGGGACAACAAGATGTGTAGGAAACACCTCTGCAGCAAGAAGGGTTTCCTTTCTGGAACAGTTTTTCAGTATTAACTAATACAGCTTGTAAGAAAAACAACAAAAAACGGTGCCAGTGTTCTCCTGGGAGGTTGGGCCAAGCCCTGCTGGTTTTCTGCAGCTGTGAACAAAAAGCAAGTCAATACAGGCACCAACACCTGGCTGGGGCTTGGAAAGGAGGAACATTCCCTGCCTGGACAGCCCCTCTGCAAGGCAGTCCTGGAGGGGCTCTGGGAATGGTCCTTTTCTGAGAGGAATGAGCCCTTTGTACATGTGGTTGTGTTTATCTCTAACGTGGGAGGAGTTTCCAGCCCTGCAGAGGGAGAGAAAGCCAGGAGCTTGTGTAAAGTGCCTTTGGAGGTGGGGAAAATCATCAATTCCTGGAATGGTTTGGGTGGGAAGGGACCTCAAACCCCACCCAGTGCCACCCCTGCCATGGCAGGGACACCTCCCACTGTCCCAGGGTGCCCCAATGTCCAGCCTGGCCTTGGGCACTGCCAGGGATCCAGGGGCAGCCACAGCTGCTCTGGCAATTCCAGCTCAGCCAGGAACTCCCGATTCCCAATCTCCCATCCATCCCTGCCCTCTGGGAACCTGGGTGGGCACAGGATGAATTGGGGTCCTGCTGGCCAGACCCCAGTTCCTGTAAAGGAACCTTAAAACACCGGGGTGCTTTAATAGTGCAGTATTTACCTGACTGCTGTAGTTGACACCTTTGCTGCTCCTTCTTCACTTTCACATCCTCATCCTTTGTCTCATCACATCTGACTGGAGCTCTCTGGGGCAGGGACACTGTCCAGTGGTGCTGGTGACCCAAGGGAGCAGCTGGGACTGGGCCAGGGGAGGTTTAAGTTGGATATTAGGAAAAGCTTCTTCCCCAGAGGGTGCTGGCACTGCCCAGGCTGCCCAGGGAATGGGCACAGCCTGAGGCTGCCAGAGCTCCGGGGGGGTTTGGGCAGCGCTGCCAGGGATGGACAGGGTGGGATTGTTGGGGGTCTGGGCAGGGATGGGGCTGGGATGATCCTGTGGGTCCCAGCTCAGGACATTCCATGGATCTGCCAGGGATGCAGGAAGGTGGATTGTGTTTTCAGTCTGGGGATGCAAACCTGGCTGGTGTTCCCTGTGCTGAGGACATTCCAGGAGCTGTGTCCATCTCCTGTCCCTGGGCCATCCAGGAATCAGGACCTGTGTGGGGAGTGTGCCCTGCATCTGCCCTTAGCTCCCTCAGTAAGGAAAACGCATTTATCATGCAGAAATCTCAGGCAGTCGACTGCTTTCTGGACATGTCAGATATTAATTATTAATTCAGACATTCCTTTGAAATGAATTTGCTTAAAAATTAACTTTCAGAGTCATTCTGTGGCTGAAGGGATGCATGGAAGTAGCTTAATGTTTAAAGCTGTTTCCCTGCCAGTGTTTTTAGGGTCATGTTACAGGGTGGTTGTCCAAGGCTGTGTCTAGACTTTCCTTATCAGATAAGGTGTGAGTAAAACATGTGTAAGTTAATGTGTACTGAAAATAAAAGGCAGATAAGGCACGTGGGCTCCTGGCTTTGTCTGGCAGCCTGTGCAGAGCTGTGGGCTCTCCATCCCTGGGGCTGCTCAGGGTTCAGGGGCAGGTGGCAATGTGGAATATTGCAGGTGAGAGTTTCCCCTGGCACACACAGACCCTGCAGGCCCTTCCCTGCTGCTGAAGGTACCTTGGGTGCCCAGAGGGTCCTTTTGGGGGAAACAAGAGTATTTGAACAGTTCACTGGACATTTAAGGCCTTCCACAAAGCTCATGTGAACTGTGGGATCTCCCCTCACTCTGTGTGGAAATTTTCTCATTTCCATATTGATCTGATCACTGGAGAAATTGATAGCTGCGATTTGTGGAGTGTTCAAATAACCTGGGAAATGGAAATCCCATTTATGGAACAAAACCTCTGTTTTCCAAGGGTCAGAGGGACACAGAGGGTGAGCAGTGTGTGGGATGAAGGTGTCCCTGCCTTGGGTGTCCCTCTGGGATGTGAGCCCTGCTTTTCCTGAGGCTGGGAGAGGATTTTGGGGAGGTGTTGTTCTGTCTTTGTGTGGTGTTGGTCCCTTTGTGGGAGAGCATTGTGATGCTGCTGGTGTTGGGTTAGGGGCACCTTTGGTGTCCCCAGTGGCGCAGGGACACAGGGAGGGGATGCAGGGAGGGAGTGTTTGCTGTGAGCCCAGCTTTGGGCTTGGAGCAGCCTGGGGCAGTGGAAGGTATGGGATGGGATCCATGGAATGGGATGGGATGGGATTGATAGGATGAGATCCATGGGATGGAATCCATGGGATGAGATCCATGGGATGGGATCCATGGGATGGGATGGGATCCATGGGATGGGAT